AACTTAAAGAGAACAAACTCATCAGCTGAACGTAAAGGAAGATCTATGGTTCATCGAGAAGAAGATTATCAGTGTGGACTTTGGAGCAATTCTTCAAGGTTAGCAGTGAATTAACTTTTCATTTTCTGCACCCGAACAACTGATCATTAAGAAAAACAGTAAAAGAGACAACAAATCACGAAAAGCAAACGTTTCAATCGACATAAATTTCTAGAGTATATATGTGTCATTTATATTTATTTTATGCTCATATTTTTTGGCAATCAAGATAGTGTTTGCTAACAAATTAATTTACAAACTTCATAAGAGTTACACAATTAATGATACGTAGCTGTTGAGTGTTGACCGAGTTCAAAAGCATTTATATCTCATCATGTTTGTACTATATAAAGTATAAACGTGGCATCCTTGGTAATTTTAGAATTCCTTTTAAAACACTGTTGTCGTTCAGTATACATGCATAGTGCCAGTGGAAATTAGGGTTTAAACAGATTTAGCGAAACATATATTGATCCGGTGACTCAAACATGCATGTGACTTTCTGATTTTAAAGGAGTAAGCTTACAGGCATAATTAAGTATGCTATCTTTGGATTACTGATCAATGATTAATTTCAACAATGCTTGGTGATGAAAGAAAATCTCTTAATGGCTCACTTTATAAAACTAAACCAAAGATGAACAAATCTCTTTTTCCCTTTGATTTCACGGGTTCACAAGATCTTTCAAATTGGGATCCATATATGATTGTAAATTAAACTTGGTGCCAAAGCTAAGACCTTTAATTATATGATGGACCCATCGTGTGAGAATTTTTAGGGTGCTGAATTTGCTCTCTTTGAAACTTCCTTTGTACGTTCTTAATTTCTGTTTCCATGTGTAGAGTATATATGTATATGTGTTCCGAATTCTCTTCCAGTTTTACCCCACTTTTCATCTTGTATGTCATGGGTAATGACATTGCACATGGGTTGATTTTAACTTTATATCAACACAGTGAGATGTAACTTTCTTTATATGAGTTTGCCTTTTCTCTTCTTTCTTTCCTTCTGCATGGGCTTCCCACTGATTGGAAATATTCCCTTCTCAATGTACTACTGTTCTTTTTAGCAGGGAAGCTTGGCTGCATGGCAAACATAAAGATTCTCAAATAAATATACCAACTCTTAAGGTAAGATATTATATATATTATGCTCCTTTTGATTTATAGTTGAACATAGTTTTTCAATTTTTTAAGTTTTGATGAATCTCCTTTCACCACTTTTAATAGCATCCTATAATGTTATTGCTTTATTTAACAAGAATAATATCTAAAGTGGGAAAAAAAGGGTAGAAAAGATGGAGGCTTTTGAAAGACCGAGTCAAGTCATGCAAATATATTTAAGGCTCAATTATTCCTTTTGTAAGATAGGGGCATTAAAGCTAAAAGCAAAGAAAATACTACCCTTTAAAGGCTGCAATTCATGTTCAAATCCTTAAACTAATTAGCCACTATAACCCTTATAGTGGATGAAGTGCGATCTTCATCGATTTTATGGATATGAATAGCGTTGCAAACCTTTTTTGGCATGGTTTGTTGTGTCGTAACTCCTAGTTTCTCGCCATTCTTTTTAATGATATATTTGTTCAAACAAATAGACTAAATTTACACAATATATATAGATTGATAGAGTGCCTATATATATATAACAATGTCCACTTAGTAATGAACGTCGCCTTTAATTAAAATGGCATATTTTTTCTGATAATAAAGCAGCATACCATAGAGAATCGCTTTAATGTTCGCCTTGAAAAAAACATCTTTCATCTTCACATGCTGATTTTCGAGAGGATTTCAAGAGTAAAAGCATGCATATTTGTCTTTTGTGGATATATAAATGTTGAGATTGGATTTTGATGACATAAATTTCTTTCAGAAGGAAATTATAAAGGGCATGATCAACTATGAGAGGCTATCAGAAGCGAACTCATCACGAATTTCCCCAATGAAACCTAATCTCGAGTTCACTTTAGGAAGGCCACAGTGACATGATGCATGCTGATGGTACGTGGTGGCGATGATGATGATATAATATATATATATTTCGATTGTACTATTCATTTCAAAATCATTATGATTTTGAATAGTTGCTAGCGAACAAGATTCAGGTCCCCACTGAAAATCAGAAAGAAAAAGAAAAAGGAAAGAGATGAGTAAAGTCAGAAAGCAACAAAAGGGAGGAGGTTTTGATAAGCATGTCCTTCCTATCAAATTTGTGATCATCATTTAATATATTATACCTCTTCGTTATCTATTTTCGTTATGCAAGAATATAAAGTCCAGTAATTAATCTTTTATCTTTCTTGCATGAGAGAGAGAGAGAGAGAGAGAGAGAGAGAGAGAGAGAGAGAGAGAGAGAGAGAGAGAGAGAGAGAGAGAGCTTTAACTTTGTTAAAAGGATGATGAGGCGATCTTTGGTAACTGTAATGGAGCACTTTGCATAGAGCAGAAAAAGGAGAAGTATAATTTTATGAAAGGTGTAAGTGAGAGCTCTCCTTCTTTCCTAGGGAGTGCCATATGCTTTACACTAGCTAAACCAAAAAAAGTAAAGAAAAGGATAACAGCAACTTGAAAAGAGAACTAAAGAAGGTTTACAACTGCATTTTATTGTTGGAAAACCAATAACACTAGTACAAAAAGCAGTATAAAGTCATTCAAATCTATTACACATCCGATTTTCCAACCGGAACCCTTGCAATTAAATTATATGTGAAAATCTCTCAAAAAGTCCGCATTTGCAACCGGATCCGTGTAGGCTCATAATTAATTTAAGTCCCATTCCATGGCAGGCAACCGGATCGCTTCTAGGCACATGATAAGTCTCCATACATGTAAAAGAAGCAACTGGATCTCTTTTATGCACATAATTCCAAACCAGATTTCTTTAGTAAAGTTTCTATGAATAAATCACAATCCCTGCTATGAAAATGGGTTCATGGTGTTAATTAACTTTTGTTAAAATATTTTATGTGTGGAATTACTTATAATTGTTACCCCTATAATAGCAACCTACATAATAAAAAAAGTGAAAAGGCTCTGTTTTCATTGATAGTATCTACAATGGAGAGTTCAAGAAAAAAGTTGAATGAGGCGCCAAACCTACTTATCATTTAAATGATGAAATTCTATCATTGTGAGATGTCACATTGACATTTAATATATTTGAAGTTCAATAGTCATTGAACTCTTTAATAGGAAAAAACAAAGTTTTTATTTCTTAATTAACTATTTACATATATTTCATTGAACTTTTTAGAGCTAAATTCATTATAGAAAAAAATGATAGCGTTGTATAGAATATAGAATGATAATGTAGCATAGAGTTCATTGCAATGTGTATGCATTGACAGAGTTGTATGGAATTTAAAAATCAATATGATGGTCGGAAGTAAACTAGCTTGATCATTAGTTATTAGTTATGGTATGAAACTTAGCATGCTCAATCAAGTGTTACTCTCATAAGATTTATTTTCGGTCTATATGGACGTAAGCTTGGTCTCTTTGGATTTCGCCTCGACTATGTTCATAAATTTAATTTCATGGTTTTTCGATTGTGATATCATGACATTGTTAAAATAGGTTGGATCTCCTATGACGTGTTCGGTTTCTTTTCCTCTCACTTATCGATCTTAGCCTTAAACTTAAACATGCTAAGGGTTTTATCAAAATGATGCAGGGATAAAATAATAGGACTATTCATAGTTGCTAAATGATTTGAAGGCTAGAGTTAGTGATATAGAGCTTCTTCCTGATATAATGAAGGGGAAGACCCTTTGATTAATATCATTCCTTGTTTGTGCTTCTTTCATGGTCTTATTACCACCATTTGTTGTTCCAATCTTATTCATGTGGTAATTAAATGTAAATGATTCTCCTTTTCTTATGTTAGAAAATAATGGGATGTGTGAGTCCTAGCAGACTAAAGTCTAGAGCAATCAACCATATTTGTAGAATGTTGTTTTCTATAAACCCACCAAGGAAAAAAGTTTTGGTTTTCTGGAGCGTTAAGTAATTTGAGAGAGAGAGAGAGAGAGAGAGAGAGAGAGAGAGAGAGAGAGAGAGAGAGAGAGAGAGAGAGAGAGAGAGAGAGAGAGAGAGAGAGAGAGAGAGAGAGAGAGATTATAACAAGCTAGCAGGAACAATAGAGAAATTAAGAACCACGAGATACAAATCATTATATATGGTTTGGGCAAAAGCAACACATTTGTATTCTTAATAGGATTCCCCAACTAACCAAGAAATGTATTTATTGCGTTTATTTGAAGAATCTGAACTAAGGTTTTAGTTTGAACTAGATAGCTATCAAGAAGTTATATCTGATAAATGATTTATAGCCATGAATGCATAGATTCATTCTATAAATAACAACCATTTCTAGGATTTAGTTGATATTCCACTTAACGGAAAGCATGCTACACTATACCAAACACAATAATAATAAGTAAATAAATAAATAACACTTTCGGGCTCTCATTTATAAATTATAAAATATGTAACAAAAAATAATATGTTACATCCCAAATATAGTAAAAAAATTTCATTTAAAAAAAAAAAAAAACATTTTCATAAAATACATAAGTAATCAATCATTGTTTCAAAACAAAAACATAAAAATCAGAGTGTCAATATCATTTATCAAAACATAAATTAGCAGAAGCATGTATACGACCATGTATTTACTTTGTTCCGTTCATCTGAATTACCTAAAACATTTAAATACACATGTATAATCCAAAGCTTAATAAGTTTCTCCAAAATATCAACACAACAATACACGAGCGACTAGCAAATATTTTCACTAAAGATGGAGCTACTAGTGGTATGGTTGAATCGACAGCTAATGTGATTAAAATATATATATATATATATATATATATATATATATATATATATATATATATATATATATATATATATATATATATATATATTGATAACGAAAAAGGATAAAGTTTTCCAACGTTTAATTCTAATCATCAAAACATTGCAACTTCCTCAAATCTAAATCTCAAAGACTCGACACAAAATAAAATAATAAATAATAAATAAAAAGCAGCATCTAAAGAAGTAACACATGTAATTGAAAAAGGGTGAGCTACCTTATCCGAGGAAATCTAGAAAATGATTAGCATTATTATGTCTAAAATGATTAGCATTATTATGTCTTCTATTAGGCTGCACGGTATGGAGTATGTATAACTACGTGGGGGCTTACGTGGCAAGGCCACCTACGTGTGAACACCGCCCCAGGCGCACGTAGGTGCCTTGTGGCGTAGTGGGAATCACGGACGAAGACGCTTGATTCAATTGGTGGATTGATTGTTTTTTTGACCGTTACCAATTAAAAAAAAAAATCAAACAACACTTTATACACATATATACATACACAACACATAAACAAACACATTCTCATTCACATCACAAACATATTTCTATTCCCTCTATCAAGCACACTTTCAAACATAGATATGAATAATTTTGCGGGTTCGATTGCTTCTTCTTCATCCGATGATGATAGCTATGATGAAGATGACTTGGTGTTGCATACGTTGTTGTCTGCGGCACGCAATAGGGTGCAACAAAGAGGCGAAAGTACAAATACCGAGAAGAGGCGTAGAATTTCGATAGTTCGGGATCGTATAGCGGCACACGAGCTTTTGGTACGTGATTACTTTGCCTCTGATAGTTTGTATGACCTATCAAAATTTGAAGACCGGTTTCGTATTAGTAGAAATTTATTTTTACGTATTGCTAGAGATTTGGAAAACAATTATGAGTTTTTCCAATTGAGATGGGATGCAAGAGGAAAACGTGGGGTTAGTACCCTACAAAAATGCATAGCAGCCCTTAGACAATTGGCATACGGCATAGCAGCAGATGCTTCAGATGAGTATCTGAAAATGTCTGAGAGGACTGGACGAGAATGTGCTTATCTTTTTTGTGAGTATGTCATAGAGCTTTATGGTGATATATATTTGCGGCATCCAACTAGAAATGATATGAACAATTGTATGCCGCACATATAGCTAAACATGGCTTACCAGGAATGCTTGGCAGCATTGATTGTACACATTGGGAGTGAACAAATTGTCTCAATGCATGGCGAGGTCAATTCACACAAGGTGATCATGGTGTCCCGACTATTATACTAGAGGTCGTTGCATCACATGATCTATGGTTTTGGCATGCATTCTTTGGTATGGCGGGGTCAAACAACGACCTGAATGTGCTTGGAGCCTCTCCGATATTTAATAATATTTTGCAGGATAAAGCACTAAACATGTCGTTTGTTGTGAATGGACATCAATATAATTACGGGTATTACCTTAGTGATGGGATATATCTAGAGTACGCTACGTTTGTCAAGTTGTTTTCGTTTCCGGCCGATGAAAAACGACAATTGTTCAAGTTAGCACAAGAATCGGCAAGGAAGGATGTGGAACTGGCGTTTGGGCCCTCAAACAAAAGTGGCACATCATCAAACATCCGGCACAGTCATGGGATAGGGCGAAATTGACGAAGGTGTTGACTGCTTGTGTTATTTTACATAACATGATAATTGAAGAAGAGGGTAGGCTATTTGTATGTATAATCCGGAAGATATTCTTAACCCACCTGCAGTAATACAAGTCGGCAGCCCTGCATACTTCACACGACTTTTGGAAATACAAAATAGTGAAACACATCATAATTTACGTTATGATTTGACTGAGCATATATGGCAAAGACAATTCCAGCAACACGGTGACAATGACAATGACAGTGATGACGATGAGCACGACGAGAATGACGACGACGAGCACGGCGAGTAATATTTTATATGTTTTTTTTTGTAATTTAGGTTTTAAATTATTATATTTTTAAGTAATGTAGATTTTAAATTTATGTTTTTTAAATTAATGTAAAATATTTTTAATTAATATTTATGTTTTTATTTTTGTTTAGTAATTATTTTTTGAATTATTCTAATGTAAAAAAAATAGAAAAAGAAAAAGGGAAAATGACTTAGAGTGGTGACCATTTCCA